TTTGCGAATTTAAAATAATGTTCGAAGCTATTCAGATCTTTACATGACAGAATCGTTCAAAAACTTTTGGAAAAAAAGATTCCCTTTGAATAGATTTGAACCCCTCAGTTTCTGTCATACTCTTTTTCTCTTCTCTTCTCCCCTTCTTTGTCAATTATAATACTTGCTTGTTAAATACCCGGATCTATGATTATCAGCTCAATCAGCAGGGTTTCCGTATACGAGGCTCCGGATAAAATATAATAATCCCACGACACGTCGTTCCGCGTTATTTTCACGCGTGCGCTTGTACGCATCGCTCCTTCGTGTCTTAATTCGATCGTTCCGGTCTATCAAGAATCGAGTGCGGCGAATGAGAGATAATGCGAAATTCACGAAGCGTAAAGGTAGTTCAATTCGCCTCCGTTTCGACGGAAGTTCCTGCTTTACAGACACGCAGCCATTGCCGGCTGTAACGGCGGCTTCTACTGTTCTTACTATATGAGTGGACGCGTTTAACGATGCGGGCACTCGCAATGATGTCACGCACATGTGTGAGCGCAAGTCGAGCGCAATGCCCGTTGCCGAGATGATTTCGGCGCTTCATTTATTCCACTCAGATATCTGCTGACACTCTCGAAAACTACGAAAGAGCTTGCGAACGTGCTTCCGCGAGCGTTGCTAAAAATTGAAATTGCAGCGATTGCATCTCCGGTCAGCAAAACAATGTATCGTCACTTCGCTTTCAGTTATGTGTACAAATAATCTCAATTAATTATGTATATTCAGTTAAAATTACAGCGATATTTAGTGACTAAATTCCCACTTAACAAAACCATCGCTTTTCTATCGATTCTATGAGCAATCTTAATTAATTGTATATTGCCCTCAAGCTCAAGCGTATAATTGATATTTCACGGAAAAGTAGTATCAATAATTTCAATAAGTACGAATGAAAGACTCTCAATATTTAAAAACAATACGAAAGGTGGTGCATAGGGCTGTGAGAGTCAGAACGCGGTTGTTGGTGCGTAAACTGAAATTCAGTTTGTTGATCGTACTGACAACGTTATCTTTTAAGCTCAACTGATTTTCCGATGTTCATTTTGTGCTTCTTGTGCGATTTCATGTTTACCATCATGAAATTAAACTTTCCACATATCCTGGAGCCCACGTGGAGCATGAGACGAGACATCTTATTTCGTCATTGGTTCCAAGTTGCTGAGGATGACTCAACAAGAGTCGAAACGTACAATTATCTCTTTTTTGTGATTTATTAAAGATAGTCCTTTTGACTTTACGCACCAACAACCGCGTTTTGACTCTCACGGCTCTATGCACCTCCTTTCGTATTGTTTTTTAATATCAATAAGTAATTGACAATTAGCGATTGAAATCGCGTACAGTCGATCAGGAAAGCGGATCATTATAGTCAATTGGGAGAAATTGCATTACGAGACACCCCGTCAGCTAACTTCAATATCGGGTTTCAAACACGGAAGACGTCGGAGTTTCTGTTTGGATGCGTTTAGCCCGTCTTTCAATTCGCCACTTTTCCGCTTGATTAAAGATTTAGATGCAATCGATGCTGGCTCGAATCGATAGAAGATTACACGGCGGTTTCGCAGGCGATCGATTGAATATTTATTTAAATGTCCCGCGATCGCTTATCTCCGCGCGTGGCTGGACAGGGAATTAATGACTCGCTCTTATGATCCAGCCAACCCGCGAGCGCGCTGTGTCATTCGAAAAAAAAGAAGAAAAAACGGAATGCGCTTACGATTAACGAAAGTGACTCATCACACGCGTGTACGGTGGTCGACGACTGCCGGGCGTTTTGCAAACTGTCATTACGCATAATTTTCGACCGCTACCGTGTCAGCACTTGCCATCAGGGATTCTCAGTCCTGCGAGCCGATGGTTTCTAGATAACAACGCGGTGGTAAATAAAACGGCGCTCGAATCTACTACTGTTTGCCACAATCACGGCTGAGATTAAAGAATTGTTTGCACTTGCTATCAGAATATCCCGTATTTGTTGCAGTTGTGTCTCTCCAAAGTTGTCGCACGCCCGATTTGAATAAAAAATGTCTTCTCAATTCGTCAGGAATTCAACGAAGCTCACTGCTGAGTTTTTTGGACACGCAAAGTACGAGCACCGTTCAATTGTTCACAATTGAACGCAATTCTACCGAATGCTGGAACGAAGTAACGTAACAAAGTAATGCTACGCTGATCCTGGAGAAAAAGAGGCAATTTTTATTTTCGCGAAAACGCCGAGGCGCTGACGGTTCTGCTCTAGCTCTAAATCATACAGAATAATGGGCTCTTTTATATCAAGCTGACGCGAACAAATGACGGAACGTTTCTTCAATTCGAAATGCTCTAACGGTACTTCAACTTCAGGCTTAACTGAAATACCGGGGACCGACGCCGACGTTAGAAAGTCAACATTTTTGCTAAAGAAATTAACTCTACCTATCTCGCGGAATTCGGGGGTCGGCGAAGAGGTTTGGTACACGAGCGCGAGACGGAAAGTCTGTCCGATCCGTGGGCTACACATAGAAAAATATACAGGGTGTACCTAAACTGGCGATAAATATTTTAATGACAAGTACTCTGTAACATTTTGAGACGAAAATTCTAATACGAAAAAGTCGAGGCTATAATAGTTTTCAAATGGGAACAGTTTAAACATCTCGAATAGCAAAGCTAGAATTTCGCGTGCTCAGGGATGAAATTGGTCGATAAAATCATTCACGAATACGTGAATCTGCTGACGACAATTATTCCACGTGTAAAAGACAAACTGCGTTATGACCGGAAAAAAAATTCGGCGCGTAGTACTAATGTGGAAAGAAACGGTACATACGAGGGACGTCCAGAAAGTAAGGTTACAACAGGTGTGAAAAAAAAACAATGCATTATATTGTAATGAAATTTACAGGATATGTTTGAGAAAACATGTCTTTATTTTTCCACATAATCGCCGTCGAGGTCAACACATTTCTGAAGCCTGGGCACAAGCTTTTTGATGCTCTCGTCGAAGACGTTCCGCTCCACCTTTCGAAGCCACGTTTCCACTGCCTCTGTCACCTCCTTGTCACTTGAAAATTGCTGCCCACCCAAAAACTCCTTTAATTTAGTGAACAGATGATAATCCGAGGGCGCTAGATCCGGGGAGTAGGGGGGTGATTGACAACATCCCATCCAAACGACACACGAGCAGATTCTGATGAATTCAGATCAGAATCTGCTCGTGTGTCGTTTGGATGGGATGTTGT